GTAGGCGAAAACGTTGTTGTCCATAAATCACATTCAACTTGGGATAATTTCAAATAAAAGTAGACGCCTTATTTATTCGTATTTTTATAGGATAGGGTGACAAGTGATCACATAGTCCATGACATCAGCATCACGTGATGTTAAGTGGTTTCTGTAGCTCATAGATATCTACATCTATCCTTGATTACGAATCAAAATGCAGATGCGTTGTCACCCGTGAGGACTAAGATGGAATGCCTCGTATCCAGTTATAAGGGTCTCCGGTTCCTTACACTTACCATACGAAACACAGCATCATTAAGTTACTATTTTACGCTTGTATTCTGTGAGATTGGTTCCCTTCCCCGGTCGAGCCGACCCATTCGTGCTACAATTATACTACTAATATAACGGCAACATGGCTTTACCACGTATAAAATATAAAATTATTATTTTAAAAAACTGCAACATTGGTATATCATTATTTATATATTTCACCTTAAGTTAAAAATTTGGTTACTCTTTGAAAAATAACCTTGTATAGTCTATAACGTTTACTAAAATTTCGAATTTACGCAGAAATTGAGTTAAAAGAACCTAAAAACGCAGAAAATATATTCCATTGCTACATTTACCGACCAAAAAGTGAAATTCGCGAAACACTGACGTGAACGCAAAAACAAGTTTTCCAGGAGCAAACAACATTCCAAATAAAAACAGCAGCATGCATCGCGTGCATGTTGCTCTCATATTTGCATACAAATGCGTTCCCAAGCTTATCAAAATGTATGAATCCGGTGTATCTCGTCCCCTACATGCACGCCTGTGTCTATGATAGTCATATTACTAAAAGCAGTAACTTCTGTATGCAGTTGTTGCGTATCTAAACGTTACTATTAATACAGCAAAATACATTTAATGAACTGTATATTTCATACAGGACACTAAATTTACCGCTGGACATTGACCTCCCCCATAGACTACCTCAGAAGGAGAATTTCAACATGGTTGACACGCCAGGCGAGCTGATTGGCCACTGCTGTTTTTGGTTCAATGTTGAGTTGTTATCTTGAAGATTTTTTGATAGGATAAAGGTGACAAACTTGCACACTTTCCAGTAGCTGCTGTGGCCCATAGACACCTACATCTATCCTTGACTACGAATCAAAATACAGAAGCGTCGTCATCCGTGAGGATTAGGATGAAATGCCTCGTTTCCAGAAAAAGGAATCTTTGGTTCTCTACGGACACCATACGAAACACAGCAGCACTAAGCTGCTATTTAACGCTGGTATTTTGCGTGAGCGGGGTCCTTTCCCGTTCGAGCCGACCCATTCATGCTCCAGCTGTACCACTAATATAGCTGCAGTACGGCTCTACCACGTAAAAGCCCATCTAGTGCTGCTGTCCATCTCTTCTTTCTACTTTCCTCTGACACCTCTAAAAACACATATACCCTGTAGTGGTGGTGGTGTAAGAATTTCCACTACGCCATAACTGTATATTACCATCCATCCGTTTCATTTGTAAGTCAGCTGGTGAACAAAGGACAAGTTTTAGTTGCCACGCTTGGCGAGTGTGTGAATAACCGCAGTTGTTTATAACTTTTGCTTGTTATATACCAGGCGGTTCCATAATGAACTAGCCTGATATAGTTCAACGCGACATGTTTTGTTGCATTAAATAGTACGTTTATCGTGCACTTTGATGGTGGATTTTAAAGAACGTAATACAGTCGTGAACGGCGAATATTATGCTTCTTTAATATATAAATTACGAGACAAGATAAAGGAAAAACGAAGAGGCAAGCTGTCTAAAGGTGTCCTGTTGCTCCATGACAACGCCCCTGTTCATACCGCTGGTGTTTCGAAGGATGCAGTTCGTCAATGCGGGTTCACAGAAGTTCAACATCCACCTTACAGTCCAGACATGGCCCCGTCCGACTATTATTTATTTCCAAATTTAAAGCGGGACTTAAGAGGAAGAAAATTTTCAAGCGATGAAGAGTTGCAGGCGGCCGTCTTCAGTCATTTTGAGGATAAAAAATGTGATTATTTTTATAAAGGTTTAGAGATGTTGATTCACAGATGTCAGAAGTGTGATAGTATTCATGGTGATTATATTGAAAAATAAAATTGGTTTCGTTTCATTTCCTTCATTGGTTCATAGTTGGCCAAGTTCGTTATTATGGGATAGTACTATCGACCATCTCCTGTTTTATGTTTGTATATAATCGAAAGTACCAGTGTGATATTAAATAATTTATTCTTTCGAGATTGTTAATTGAAAAAAATTCAATTAATTATTGAGTGAAATTTCAAAAGTAGGCATTTTTATTTGCAAATGTGAATTAAATTATATGCGAGGTTATGTTCTGTAACATCTCTAGTACATATGAAATATAATATACTTTTTTCAACACTCTTGTATTTTGTAGTATCAGTTGTATAATCTATACCATTTTTAATTTATTTCAATACGTTCAATGTTGACTAGAATAGGACCATATATTAAGTCCATCCTTTATGATTTATTTTTATTTAATCCAACACAAAAAATGTATAATGACAAAATATTAGAATATTTTTATGGAACCTGTTAGTTTTTACAAAATTTTGTATTGGTTGAATAAATGGACTAAATCTCACAAAAAAATCCCAAAAAAAAGTTAAGATTAATCTGATGTCATTCAAATAAACAAGAATTTCCCGTAAGAAGAAATATTCTAACGTCAGAATGCGTATACACATCCCACAGCTGGGCATAGAACTCCTCTTATTTCCTAAAAACTTTTAGGGCAACTTAGAGTCCGCCGTGCTACATAAATGCACGTTGGAAGATTTTACAAGCACCCGATTTATAACTAAAGCATGCAGGTTTCATCATGACGTTTTATTCCACCGCTGAGAACGTAAATCTGTATTTCAATTGCAGTAAAAAATTATATTGGCGCCAAAGGAGTTGAAAATCGTTTTCCTCGTCTACTTTACGCTTCTTAAGGCGAGTACTTACCCCTGAGCTACCGCCGCTCTTAATTCATTAAAATAAATTTTATTACTGTCCGTTTTCAAATAATTAAAGAGATATGGTAATTAGGTTATTTATCAAATGTTATTTATATATTTATAGTACAAATTACTCATTTACATACGTGGTAGACCATCCTGCAGCTATATAATGGTTGTGGCACGAATAGGTCGGCTCTAGGGTAGGACCACGATCTCATAAATACCAGTGTAAAATAGCAGCTCAATGCTGCTGTTTTTTGTCTGGGAAATATAGAATAACGTGCTCCCTTTTTTACAGGAAACGATTCTATATTTTTCCTCGGAGATGTCAACGCGTCAATATTTTGATTATTATTTTATTTAATAAAAAAAGTATTTACGTTAGTTTAGTACTAAAAAAAGAAAACCGATAGGTAGCGCTGTGGTCGATTTAATTATAAAATTTATATTTATTAAGGAATTAACCGTATAGTGGCCGCGTAACAATATCCACTACCCCATATCGTCCCGTGGGTGTCGTAAGAGGCGACAGAGGAAAACCAAAATACCGGTTGGGATATTTTTGTGATAACTACTCATAATTATAAAAAACTGGGTTTGCTAACCCTCCTGCCAAGCGTAGCAAATATGGCAAAGAGGAAATGATATGAGCGTGATCTTTGTTCAGCAGTGGATTTTATATTCTAAAATGGATGGATGGAAATATAACCCTACATAAAGACTAAGGGAATCAAAATAAGCCTTAATCATGTGTTGACAAAATCGCTACAAGTAAATAATCCTCATTTGGTTAGTCAGTATTATTATCACATTAATCAACTAGTCTCAACTTACCGGACACATTATATGTGTATTATAAGTACCAACTAATTACTGTAATTCACTGCTGGTTCATATTTCAAATAAACAATATTTTCGATATGTACATAAATATATTAATATCGTAATTAAATGAATGCCTTAATAAATCAGGTTATAAACGAGTGTTTTTGGTAAATAAATAAATTTATTATATTATTATTATATCTGCTACGAAAGACGGTCTTGTCCCAACTATATTCATTGACTTTATGGATGCTTTAATGAATCCTTAAATGTAGTTTTTTTTTAAATAGAATAGGGTGACAAACGAGCACATAGTCCACCTGATGGTAAGTGGTTGCTGTGGCCCATAAACATCTACATCCATCCACGATTACGAATCAAAATGCAGATGTGTTGTCACCCGTGAAGTTTAAGATGGAATGCCTCGTTTCCAATAAAAAGGGTCTCCAGTTCTCTACACCCACCATACGAAACACAGCAGCATGAAGCTACTATTTTACGCTGGTATACTGTGAGAGCGTGGTCCTTCCCCGGTTGAGCCCACCCATTCGTGCTACAACTATACTACCAATATAACTGCAGCATGGCTCTACCACTTAAACTTTAACTAAAAGAATTACACACACGGTACAAAAAGACCAAAAAAATCATAATTTAAAAAATCATGATATTCACCTGCAAAATGTCCAAAATGTATGAAGAGAGGGTTTGGACCAGCTGAAGACGGAAAACTAACCAATTATTTTAAAACAAATACTTATTACTCTAGACCAGGGGTCGCCAAATGGCGGACCGCGGTCCGCATCCGGACCGCCGTCCCATTTTGTGCGGACCCGCGAGAACACAGTCCTTACACTAAAGACTACTTCCGATATAAATAACTTCCTTGGCTCCAAAAAGATTGACGCGAGCTGTACGTAATTTAATAAAAATGTATCCCCGGCATTATCTTTGATGACGTCAATTTGAAAACGGCCGGGCGAAGTAACGAGCGAGCGAGAAAGAGTTCGCGGATTGCGGCAAGTGTCGCGAGGGCAGGGTTTCATCACGTGATCGCTCTGCCAGCCGCCGGGAGGTAAGTGTTTTGTTTTAATTTTGAGCGAAGGACTTTTGCTTGCTTACTTTACGAGTATAAGTACCTACCTGTTTACAATAGCGAGTTTTGGCTGTTTATAGCGAGTTTTGACTATGGAACCGAAAAAAAGAAAAGTTGAAGATGAAAATAGACAGTTTTTGCCGGAATGGACCGATTTATATTGTTTTACGCTGCCAAATCGTGCTGGAGCGTTACCAATGTGCTTGATTTGTAACCAAACAGTGGCGTTAATTAAAAGCTCGAATATAAAACGACATTACGATACTAAACACAAATCATTTGCTGGAAACTTTCCACTTGGTAGTGATCAGCGTAAGTCTAAAATTGCAAGTTTACTATCAAGTTACTCGTCTTCGACCCAGATCATAAGTCGCTCAATGACTGAACAGGAAAAATGTGGTGAGGCTTCTTTACGTATTTCTTGGACTCTGGCTAAGCATATGAAACTATTTACTGATGCTGACGTAGTTAAAGAATGCTTTCTTGAGGCGGGTAATGCTTTATTTGAGAACAAAAAGGATGTTGTTGAGACGATACGACGGATTCCGTTATCTGCTTCTACTAGCACTAGAAATACACACGTTTTGGCAGAAGAAAATCATTTTGATTTGAAACGGCAGTTAAATAATGCAAACTATTATGCCTTGGCTATGGATGAATCATGCGATGTCACTGATACGGCACAGTTAATTATTTTTGTACGCTACCTGGACAAAACGAGAGAAACTTTTGTTGAGGAGATATTGGCTCTTTTGCCGCTCTTAGGAAGAACCCGAGGAGAAGACATCATCAAAGCAGTGATGGATTATTTTGAAAAAGATGAGTTAGACTTGAAGAAGCTCTTATCGGTAACTACTGACGGTGCGCCAGCTATGGTTGGGAGTAAAAAAGGACTAGTTCACCTGTTGAGAAGCTATGAGAGATGTAACGAAAATTTGATTTCCTACCATTGTATTATTCATCAAACTGTGCTTTGCTGCAACCTCAATCATAATTTTGAGCGTATTATGCAAGAAGTGATAAAAATAGTAAATTTTCTTCGTGCTAAATCATCATTGCAACACCGTGAATTGAAATCATTTCTTGAAGAAGTTGATGCACAATATGACGATCTACTGTTGCATAATAATGTGAGATGGTTAAGTAAAGGTTGCGTTTTAGAAAGATTCTTCAGCATTTTAGAACACTTGAAGACATATCTTTTTAACAGTGATCAGACTTCAGCAAACGCTTACTTAAGTTTTCTAAACGAAAAAGAAAATGTTGCTGTCATTGCTTTCTTAACTGATACTTTTAAACATATCAATGACCTGAACCTTAAACTTCAAGGCAAGGGAAAGCTGATATGCGAGCTCATGTCAGACGTTAAAAGTTTTTCTCGAAAACTTGATCTCTTTATTAATGATCTTGGAAATGAATGCCTACACCAATTCCAATTAAATAATATTAATAAAATATACCAATTTAAATAAAATAATCAGCAGTGACAACGAGACTGACGTCGGCCGATTCAAGACGTTCATTACGGATCTTAAATCGGAATTTCAAAAAAGGTTTGCAGATTTTAAGAAAATTGAGAATGTTGTAGAAATCCTCAGCAGCATTTACTCTCTGCATCCTGATGGTGAATGGAGCAATGAAGCTGCAATTGTTTTCGGAAGTGATAAAGCTACTCTGCAGATGGAAATGATCGATTTCCAAGAAAATACAGTTTTAAATCACAAACAATCGGAAGTTTCAAGTGAAGAGTTCTGGATAAAATTTGTGTGTGGTAATAAATATCCAGAATTACAAAAATTAGCTTTGAAACTTCTTACTTTGTTTGGATCGACATATATTTGTGAAGCAGCATTTTCGAAGATGAAGTTCATTAAGAATAAATTTCGATCTCGACTTACTACTGAACATCTCCAGGATTTAATGTCAATAGCTTGCACCAATTTTACTCCAAACTTCAGACAGATAATTCACAACAAAAAATGTCATTTTTCGCATTGATACCTATTTAACCAAATACCTTTGTTATTTCCTTAATTACGTTTGAGTTTGAGACCATGACCACTGCTGTCTATCAAAGTCCATTGTTGAAGACAGACCTCCGCATAGATTGCTTCATACGGGGAGTATTTGCCACAGTTGCTACGCTAGGCAGCCTGATTGGCAACCGCACTGTTTTTATTTTCTAGTTTAGGAAGACGCTGCCAGCCATCTCCTGACTTGTTCCCTCTGTCACCATCATAAAAGGTATAAGAATAAGGGATGGTAAATATTCTACACCATTACTTTATATACGGGTAATTCACATTTAATTTTTTATATGTATTTTCAATTTCATATACATTTTATTCCAACGCTTTTGGTACACAATTTTGGTAAGAGTTTTTAAAGTAAATAAATAGACACCACGCTGCCTCGATTAGTTGGCGGACCACACCTGCCTTCAAAACATTTTCTTTTTCGGTTTTTGCTTCACTGCCGTGCACTTAGATAACTCAGCAAATTTAATTTGTGCCGGCGGGGATCGCACCTGGGTTGCACGCGTACAGTGAAATCGACTTTACATCCGATCTCTTAACCCCGGAGCTGCAACAGCCTTTATATATATATATATATATATATATATATATATATATATATATATATATATATATATATATATATGTATTTATTCAGTTATTAAAGAAAATCTAATAAATATTTGCGAAGTAATTAAGTTTACGTTCTCTTCCGTTCCTTGAACGCAAAAACAACTTGAGATCCGTTATCGGTGCTTCTTATTTTACTTTTTACATTATTTTAATTTTACGAGTAAAAAGTAACAGACATAAATTACTAAAGCATAATTAATACCTTTAAAAATTTACGTTGTCCATATTCGTTAATTTGATCAAATATTCTCAAATCGTAGATATCAAAAGACCTGTACTTTTTGCCAATGTTTATTTGATGCTTATGTAAATATTTCCCGACTTAAATATAACATTACCTTCAAGTCTAATGTTCTTTCGTGAATATTGGTCATTTTGTACCATAAATTATATATAAATATTTCGTGGAATCTACCTGATTCACGAGCTAACAGGCCACCTGTTGGCAAGTTTACGCTGTGGCCTGTAGACTACATTTATCCTTGATTAAGAATCAAAAAGGTGATGCGTTGGCATCTGGGTTACGGTGTACTACAGCTGTATAATAACTACAGCCCGAAGGACTTAGTTCGACCCTTTCGCAAAATAACATAACAAAGAGCAGCTTGTTGGTGTGCTATGTGGTCAGTGATTATATTCTTAGTCCTCGAAGAGGTCCTTACCATCAGGTGGGCTGTTTGTAAGCCTGACACTTTTTTGTTAAATGAAGTGACAAATAAACTTACCGTCCATCTGATGGTACGTGGCTGCTGCAGTCCATGGACACCTGCAGTCGACTTCAAACATCAAGGAATCATTATACGTTGTCACCCCTGAGGACTCTGAGGACTTAAATGTCTGTAATTATACTAACTTTTTACACCCGAAAGGAATACAGCAGTGCACTCATTGCTATTTGGCGGCAGGAATGAGTAAGAGGGAGGGAGGGGACATACCCAGACGCATGCCCAGGAAAAAAGAGTTACCACCTGATAAACTCCACACTCTTACTAAATAAAACAACTGAATTATAAAAAACAAGAATATTATATACGCATATGATAAAAAAACTTGTGGAGGCGTTGTCACCACACCGCAAACCGCAGACAAAATCACACGATCATACAAAGTGATGGTCCGAGATCTCTATATTACCAGCGACTGCTAAAACGGAAGAAAAATACGTAAATGGATAAGTTACAAAATTCCTCCCCGAATAGTGTACCAGCTCTAATAATTTTTTGGTTTCACGGTATCCACCGATGGGATCTATTTGACTCCGCTACCATGTTAGGGGGGGGGGGGCAATTAGGCCACCGGCCACCTGCACTCACCAGACAAAATGCACTAGATAAAAAGCAGGCTTCTACTTCACGCTGGTCTTCTGTCTGTGAGATCGTGATACCACCTCGGTAGGGAAACTAATACAGGAGTTGGGCAGCAGCGGCTTACTAATAACAACTCAAAATAATAATAAAAATTGAGGTTGCCACACCGCCTGCCACGCGTGGCGACTGTGGCAAAACCCTTCCTATGGGGCAATCTAGTCAGCAGTGGACTTGCATTGGCTGTAATGGAAGAAAAACACAAATGTCTTTCTGTCATATTAACAGCTTAGAGTTTTGCTTATAGGGATGATATTATGTCGAGTACAGTTTTGAAAGTTGTATCTCGGTTACAAATAGTAACAGAAGTCAATTTATATATTATACGTAGTAGAGCCACGCTGTACCTTTATTATCGTTGTAGAACAAATGTGTTGGCTCGACCGGGGAAGCACCACGCTCTCATAGAATACCAGCGTAAAATAACACCTTAATACTGCTGTATTTCGTGTGGTGAGTGTAGATATGTGGAGACCCTTTGACTGGAAACGAGGATTCGTAATTGAGGGTAGAAGTTGATGTCTATGGGCTACTGTGGCCCATCTCATCACTAATCATCAGGTAGACTGTGTGCTAGTTTGTCACCCCACCAAACGAAAAAAAATGAAAAATAAAACCGGCCAAGAGCGCGTCGGGCCACGCTCAGTGTAGGGTTCCGTAGTTTCCCGTCCGTCACAATAAGTGTTCCCAATTATGAGTTTAAAGGTGGGTATCCATTATGTTCGCGCTCCTGCAACTGCTCCCGGTAGAGGGTACTGTTGTTTCCATCCAAGTTCAAAATGATTTTCCTAGAAAGTCCTTATAAAGTTCTACTTTTCAGAATTTTTGCATGTTTTCTAAACTTATGGTTCAAAAGTTAGAGTGGGTCATTGTCATCACATAGTTATCGTAAAAGGTGACGAGGGAAACAAACCATATGAGGAGCAGCGTATTCCTAATAACAACTTTAAATAAAAATAATCTGTGGTTGCCAACCTGCCTGCCAAGCGTGGCAACTATGTTCAGCAGTAGACTTTTGATGGGCTTGGACAGTAACGTTGTGTATGTTATTGTACAAAGCGGAAAAAAATAAAGATCGGGTTTGTAATAGAAAAAAAAAACAATGTAATATAGGCATGTAAATTTCAATTTTGTATTCATTCCCTACGAATGAAAAAGTATTCTCCGAATCACAAATTTAGACGAATGAAGCTTCTTTAAAGATTATCCCTACTCCGAAATATTTTGTTTTTGACATATTTCTACTTGTCATGTTAATTTTGCTTTCATAATATTCAAATTCCCGGCTTACTGTATAACGTATTTTATAAAGCTAAAGTTTACTATTATTATTACTTTACGAACAACTTTTTATGAGTGAGTTATTGGACTACACTATTGGATGTAGGCCTCTTTAAAATGTGTCAACTGGCTTTTTTACGAGTACATAGAAGTTAGAGTGACAAACTAAAGAGGAAAGAATTAAAAACGAACACACAGTCCATCCGATGGTGGTTGTGTGGTCCCCAGACACCTACAGCTATCCTTAGTTAAGAATCAAAACGTACGTTATCACCAAAACACGGTCAAGCTTGCTCAGCAAGCTATGGAGAAGACTATGCTCGGGATTTCTCTGGACGATAGACTTTGAAATAAGGATATATGTAATCCAGAGTAACCGACATAGTCCAACGGAATTTCTTGAAATAGCAATAGATCATATTTATAGCTCGAAGAACCGACAACCGATGAAGAAAAAAGGTTGTGTGGCAGCCTCGTACATGTAAATAATTTTTAATAGATTAAGTGTAACACAGTCCACCTGACCATAAAAAGATGCTGTGGCTCATAGAAATTTACATTTATCCTTGATTAAGTATCAAACTGCACATGTGTTTTCGCCTATGAGAACTTAATTGGAATGCCTCGTTTCTTCTCAACACTCACTATAAGAAACACATCAGCATTAAGCTACAATTTTACGCTGTTATTCTGTGAGAGCGTGGTCCTACCCCAGTTGAGTCAACCCATTCGTGCTACAACCATAATATAGCCGTTGCGTGGCTCTATCATGTATTTACTTTACTTTAGCAAGTGTTGGACGGCTCCCCACTAGATACATGCAAATTGACAACCAGGTAAAAGATGCAAGAAATCGTGATTTGTGGCATTTCTTACGGGAAGTATTTGTTCAGCAGTTGACTTTTGAAGAGATTCAGCGATGATGATAAAGATTATACCACTCTTAGGGATTAGTTTAGCGTGCATCGGTACTGGTAGGAAGGATTTCCAGTTCTTCACTCATTAAACGAAACCCATCGCTCCCCGGCTTTGATTGTCGTGAAGGGTATGGCCTTGAAAAGAAGCGGGGGGTGTTCCTTTGTGGGATGTGTGGGCGGCGGATCATTCGGTCCTATTAATATGCGTTGGGGGTTTTTTTGGGTTTTTTTGACTTTGTCCTAGTGGCCGTAAGCGCGACTG